AGACAAAATTCCAAGCGGGCGAAACCGCGGGCGGAAAGCTAGCACTAAATAAATAAATATCTGTTAATGTCGAAATATAGCCAATTAAATTAGGCGATCTTTTTTTCACTGATGGTCTGATGACATGATGCAGTTCAGTCAGATTACGCAGCAAGTAAACTAATTTAAATTTTCCCTATTCAACCACACACTCACGATGGCAACCGAAATCGCTCGAATTGATCTGCCCCCTAGACAAGTGGCAAAATCTGACATTCTATTCGGACGGATACGGACTCGATTTTCGAAAAGTGTGACTTGTCTACTAGACCCACTGATCGCGTTCGAAGCACCTGGCGGCGCTAAACTCGTCATGACATACAACGAGATAATGGGCCAACTATCCGGCCGCCGGATATCCGGCTATCCGGCCTAGCAGCTCGCCGGATATCCGGTATCCGGTATCCGGCCAAACCACTATCCGTTTCATCTCTAATCTAAACACTTTAGTATCTTATGCAGTTGTAATATGACTGATTTTGCTATAGCTGTTTTAGTAATGCCATCGACTACTGTCTTAAGATATAGCTTCCATATAAATGAGTGTTCGTGGTGACTGGTCTCTTCCACAAATTCGAAGTTGCATACCTACACTGATAAAATAAATAACTTTTATAAGATCTCGCTGCGGTAGAGAATGACTAAATCTTGATTTGTCATATATAAAAATGGGCAGGAAATGCCTTGGCACATTCTAACTCTCTCCTATATCACTTCCCTACCATTGCGTTGAACATCGTGTGGGCGTTAAGGTTTATATATTTAAGATAATAATATATGGACGCATTGACATTCGTTAAAAAGTTAAGGTCGTTGTGGAAAAAACACATCCAATAAATATTTATAAGAAGAGCTAAGACTTACAATATGGGTATTTGTATGGAATGTTAAACATAAATTTTCCATTCGTGTTTTCGATGTTCGGTTTGTAAAACTCAAATGGGAGGTGTATTATGTATTCTTTAATGATACACTGATTGGTTAGGAACAGGTTTCTGTTATTGTATGATTTTAGTTTGTGGTTTCTTGCGTAATATCCAAATTATAGAACAGCCTTGTTGTATTTAGCGATTAGTGATATTGAATTTGCTTACGTAAAGTTTAGAAGATTTACCTATTTGCTCAAGTATAATTGGTAAGCTGCCTAAGAGTAGGCGCACACCGTTGATTTTTCGTCGGCCGATAGTTTAGTCGGGCAGTTGATACTGATCAACTGCCCGACTAAACTATCAGTATGGGCGCATGTATGGGAGTGCGCACACTACGCCGATTCGATTTGGCCGATTCTTCATACAAATTAAAATCGGCACAACTATCGGCCAACTAAAAATCAACGGTGTGCGCCTACTCTAATGCTACTGATGTCTAAAACAAAGTAAGTTAGGACAAAAGTCCTTTAGATAGATTTTGATTGATTCAGATTTCACAGGAAATAATTCAGTTGACTTAACTCTTACACATTATTTTCTCTTTGCATAACAATTTGTTGCTTATAAGAGCTAAACGACTTTTTAAAGTCAACGAGTTTACCTTTCATTAATTTTTATTTAATGTTGCATTTGCATATTATCCATATAACGATATCAATAAATCAGTTACGACGGTGTGGAGCATTTTCAAAGTATTTTTATTTGAATAACGGTAAAACTTTTAATACAATATCTTAGAAACTGACAGTTCAATTTATAAATAACACTACTCTATCTTTTGACTTTAATGTACATTATTATTATCTCACTTCATAGGCATATGGCTTAACAGATCTACTCTAGAAAAAGTCTAAGGCTGTATTGCACCATCTTACTTTAACTTTGACAAATGTTAAAAATCTGTCAAACTCTATACAAAAAACGTCAGTTATCGTTATAGTTACGGTCAAAGTTAGGTGGTGCAGCCTAAGCGTTACGCAGATAGTTTTGAAATAGCTTAGAATTAGTCGACGCAAATATTTTTCTCTTTTTTTCCAACCTTCAGGCATCCTCGTCGCGTGCTGGCCAGCAATAAATATAGTAAAATGTGGTTGCCCTTGATCCGTAGATGACAAAAAAGTATCAATGGAAACGCTCGCTATATACGGCAACTAGCTCGAGTGATCATCCGACAGAGATGCACTCAGGGTAGCGATATACCTAGAGCTATTATTTTATAAAGTGGCAAGAGACATAGAAAGAGGTGACCACAGGTTTTTTTTCTTGGCTCTCGCGGTTTGCGTTTGATCATAGGTGGTATTGCGTTTTAAAGGAGGCCGCTGATGCGTTGCTTACTTATTCAACAGGTGTCGCTTTAAAATACCATTAATAACAGGTTAACGCATTTTTTACTTTACATTTAAATAAAAACAAAAGAATTTGCAACATTATTCTTACCGGGAATCCCGTATTACGCATCGGGGATTTCCTATGGTAAATTAGCATTTTGCATGATCATCAACAAAAAAGATGAAGACGTTTAGTATTTTTTATCACGTATCTTCTACATCTTAATTGCAAAACATAATAACAAATCCAATCCTTAACATGTAATTTAGTATGTTTGTTTATCCATATAATAGTGCGTCTACAATTTTGTTATTTCATTTTTATCATCGTCCTTGTACCTTGAGTATTTTGTGAAATAACATTTTTTTATACTTACTGCAAGTTTTATCCCTAATCTCATTGAGCCTAACGGGCTCAATGAGATTAGGGAATCGCGCAATTCATCGTCAATACCAAATTTTGAGCTACAAATTAAATCCTGAATACGTCCAACCTGCCCATGGCTGGTGTTTCTTCAATCGGTAATTAGATCTCGCTTAGAAAGTCTAAATGGACTCTCGAAGGCAAACAAGAATGACTCGATCAGCTGTATTAATGATAACCGTATTGGGAATGTAAAATTTTCAAAGATATCTATAAAATGTTGGTCCGTTGCAGCGAGGTTTATATGGGCCACAACAGACATGCAACTTTTAGTCTAGGCGCAGACCACCGACTTTTAGTTGGCCGATAGTTGGGTCCGGCTGTTAATCAGTATGGACATGTATAAGTGCGCACATTACACCGATTTGGTATCGGCCGATTCTTCATACAAATTAGGATCGGGCCCAACTATCAGCCGACTAAAGTCTGCACTCTATGGGGAGTCTTAGTATCGGCGATCGGCAATTTTGCGACTGTATCGACACACCATCGCAATTTTGCGTCTTCATGCGTTCGGACGCAGTATCGTAATCGCACGTTTTAGCGACTCTATCTATGAAGCATCGCGATTTCGCAACTTCATGTGTTCGGACGCGGTATCGGGATCGCACGCTTTTAGCGAGTCTATCGATGCAGCATTGCAACTTCGCAACTTCATGCGTTCGGACACGGTATCGTAATCGCGCATTGTAGCGACTCTATCGATGTACCACTGCGATTTCGCGACTTTGTGCGTTCGGACGTGGTATGCAATCGCGCGTTTTAGCGACTCTATCGATGCAGCATCGCGATTTCGCAACTAGGTACTCGTACATGCGTTCGGACGCGGTATCGAAATCGCGCGTTTTAGCGACTGCAGTCGCTGCGTCGAGTTTCCGAAAAGCGACTCAATCGCCGCGTTTGGTCTTTATAATATTATTCGGTTTGGTGGAATGCGCAGTCGCTGCATTTAGCTTCTAAAAAGCTGCTAAATCGCCGATCACAGATGCTAAAAGTAGCATGTGTATTCTAGCTCTAAAATGTTTTCTATGTATTAGGTCCGTTGCAACGAGGTTGATAAATCAAACGTTTACGGTGCGTTTTCTTGATGGTTATCATTAAAATGATTTGCGAGCTTTTGATCTTTATTAAAACTGTTATTGTTAATTAATAGCTTTTAAAGTAAACTTTTTCAATGGCCCGATGTTGGTAACAATTAATTGCCTCTAAAGCTGTGATAGGTTCGCCTTTCGATCAAATAGGCAGAGAAAAAAAATGAAGTAAAAATTCCCCCAAGAATACCTTTACCTACCTACATATGCACTTATTTATTGTTTTTATACTTTTTTACCGTGGTAAATTGAGTGAATTAAATCAGTAGTTTTTTTTAGAATCCTTTACTTCAATTCGCTTCACTTGCTTTACTTTGATTGAAAATACATACCAAAAAAGAAACCCTGACTTTTAGGTATAAGTTTATCTAATCTAATCATTAAAAAGCTTACCTACATCTTACGTCATTTCCAGCAAACCTCAAGTCCAATCGACAGTACATCAGACTACACATTTTTTGTTGCAAAATAACCTTTAATACAACGAGATAAGATGCCACTGTGTTAAGCTCGATGTGACGTCAAGTCCCTTATGTCACGTCCAGTCTTGTATAAACAATAGGCTTTTAACAGACCCTTGTTTTTTGTCCAAACAATCAAGAAACACACTTAAGCACCTTTCGTTTCTTAATGGCACACGCCTCTAAAAACCTCCATTATTCGTATACGGTTATCTAATAAAAGGCATAGGAAGAAAAATACCTTTCTTACAAGGCATACCTATTCAATTACCTATTTATATAACTATTAGGATTAAGGGTAGGAAAGTTCTTGAGTGGCGACCACGAGCGGGAAGACGTAGCGTGGGCAGGCCTCCCACTAGGAAGACCGACGATCTGGTGAGGGTCGCGGCAGGTGCCTGGATGCAAGCGGCACAGGACCGGTCTTTATGGAAATCCTTGGGGGAGGCCTTTGTCCAGCAGTGGACGTCTTTCGGCTAAAACGAACGAACGAACGAAAGATAACTATTACAGTTAAATATAATTTTACTAAGCATAATTTTACAATTTACAGCTCTTAAGGAATGTAATGGAAATGGAAATTGTCTTGTGAATATATTTTATTAATATTAATTTTGAGAAATAGCATTGGAAAGTAAATATTTATGTATGTTTACGTACTCGCAAATTATGTACTAATTCGTAAGCTATAAAATCACTGATTTTCATATTGAATATCTCTTTTTCAGGTAGGTTCCTGATTTATTGCAGTTCTGCAAGCAAATATCTAATAAGTACCTTTTGTAAGTAGTTTAGCTTTAATTTCTGTATTATGAACTTCAATTTCAATTTTTAATTGACCTAATTTTACCTAAACATATTCGTAAATATTACCAAACTTATAAGCCGATCTCATCATTGAGACACCGTTCTCAGGAACGTCAACATCTGACATTGAAATATTCATAATTAATCGCCGCACATTCTTCAGTTGAGCGCGGCATCGCGTGCGCATCTTTGCGGCCTTGACTTCGTGACTTTTGAGAAATGTCGGGATCGGTTTATAATAAAGGCCACCGCCATTAGAATCTCATAATAGAAATTATGTACTTATATCATAGGGCTTTACGGAGTCGGTAATTTATACAAGATTATCTGGTAAGATATTCTATTAGTGCTGCATGTCTTTAAGCTTTATTGCCTACTCAATTTAAGATAACTTGTTGTCAAATCCTTTATTGATTTCTTTGCAACAAAACGTAGTGCTAGTTTTATTAGTTATACTTAACTTATAGAAAGAAAGAAAAATAATAATTTATACTTAGCTAGCTAAAATATCTAGCAAATAATGGCTGTTGAGTATCGGTAACTATATCTGTAAGAATTTGAACATACTTAATCCTAATTTATGAGTCAGCCAACCTTATTATGGATATCAGGGACACTATGATGCGGTTCTATGAAAAAAAAAAAGAATATTCAGGACTAATAAAGTGTCTTTTTCAAGACCATAAGTTCGTTCGTTTCAGCCAAATGACGTCCACTGCTGGACAAAAGCCTTCCCTAAGGATTTCCATAACGACCGGTCCTGCGCTGCCCGCATCCAGGTACTTCCCGCGACCTTCACCAAATCATCGGTCCTCCTAGTGAGGGGTCGTAAGAATACGTTAAGTAAATCGCTGTAGTAAGTAGCGTAATAGGTCATTGATTTCACTGATTTACTGACTCGTTGCAAAGTTATCATTATTCATCAGCATCACGAAGTCAGTAGTTCAAATAAACACATAATAGGTTTAAGTACGTACTTCATAATAATCATGTAATTACTTAGATCGTCCAAGGCTACTTTGTTTATAAAGATAATCATTCTTGACATTTGCCGACTGAATCATCTTACCCAACGCTTTATCATCAGTTAATTGAATATGAATAATAGTTAGCACCCAAAAGGTGGACCGACGACCTGATAAAGGTAGCAGGAAAGCGCTGGATGCAGGCCGCTACCAACCGTGCGATGTGGAAGTCATTGGGGGAGGCCTATATTCAGCAGTGGACGTCCTGTGGCTGAAATGATGATGATGATGATGAATAGTTAGCAGTTTTGGCAGAGTAGAATAGGACCTCCCACTCTTCGCATGAATGTCGTTAGAGGCGACTGAGGGAGAAATATGGAAACAACAGAACTCCATACCAGCATGGAGAGTGTAATCTCCAAATCCTCTAATTCATCGTAGGACGTCACAGGACGTCCACTGCTGAACATAGGCCGCCCCCAATGATTTCCACATCGGCCGGTTGGTAAAGGCATCAAGCGCCTTCCGCGGGAGTCCGCTTTGTGGGTGGACGTCCCATGCGTTTTCCTCATTCTCCATTTGCCTCTGTGTGTTGCCGTCCTCCTGCATTGGAAACTAAATAAACAGACGGAAATGATGATAGTAAAAGATACTCAACATTTTAGTCAGTTTCTATCGAAATCGAAACTCTTAGCAGTCAAATTCAAATTAGTTCCAATGTCTAAATTCCATAGCGAAATGCGGTGGGAAAATTGATATGAAAATACTATCTCGCCAGAGGCAGTGAAATGGAAAGTTATTGATCTAATTTTTGCAATTAGACTCTGTAATAAACGGTAATTGTATAGTATTAGTATAGTGTGTATAATACTAATTGGTCCGTTTCATAACAATGCGGAAGTGTATAATGTTAGTTATTATTTAGGCTTTTATTCCGCGAGACAAATAGAAAAAATCTAAAGATCATTAAGAATTATAATGATATCGGAGTGGTCGTTATGCAAGGAATATAATGAATGTTTAGTCCAGTCAATGAATGCCTTAACGACGGTGTAGAGAGAAATCCGTGGAACACAATTTCTGACCTCGGGACTTTATTTAGCCTAGTTAGGTGGTGAACATAGCAAAAGTCCCCGCCCTTAGCCCTTGAGCCGGCGGGGAGAGGGGGGTTTAAAGGTACCACTTTTCGGTTTTTCGCTTAATCCTCGGAAACTATGCGTCCTAGTGACATGACTACTATGAACCAAAAAAAGCTTATTCAATTTGCTACAGGTGAGACCGTCAAGTTTTTCTATATCTTGTATAGTTTTTGCGGCATCTGCTCTAGAAGGTCTGTAAAATTGGAAATTTTATTGTTGTCTTACATGTTCCTTTCAGGAGAAAATCGACTAAATCAACATTAAGCAACAGAGTAAATACAAATGAGTAGGTCATCTTCATAGAAACGCCCAAGCGCGGTTTGTATGTGAGCGCGCCAATACGTATGCGGCGCGCACGCACACACTGACAAAATTTAGCGTTGATTAGCGGTGAGTTGCCCCGAATTTTGTCAGTGTGTAGGGTTGCCAACTTTTCTTTCAAAATATAAAGTATATCAGAGGTCGGAGAAGGAAAACAGACAGTATTAAAAAAAACAAACAGTATAGCTCTACAACGCGTACTTAAATGTGGTGTTGGGCATTTACTTTTAAAAATATCTATGGATACTAGTGATGCTAGCTGAAAACAGTATTTTGTATACTTTATTTTTGTTCAACAGTAAAAAGTATAATTTAGTGAAAAACAGTATAATACTGTTCAAAACAGTATAGTTGGCAACCCTATCAGTGTGTGCGTGCGCGCCGCATACGTATTGGCGCGCGCTCACATACAAACCGCGCTCGGTGCGATTCTATGAAGATGACCTACTCATTTGTATTTACTCTGGTTCGAGTCACTTATAAACGAACTGTATGATGCCCCTTGATATGATTGATGAAAGAAACAAAAAACCTGACTGAGACGGAAATTTTAGGACTTAAAATGTTGTTTTTTTTTTAATGCTGATCAAGGCAGGTATTTGACTCCAATACCACCTGAAAGTGAGATGTTAAGAGAGCAGTCTAGGGGTACATAATTACCCAGTAATGCTTCAACCACGGCGCGATCATAGGGAAATGACAGGTCGCGTGAACTGTCATGGGTCGCGCGACCTGTCATTGGCCTTTGATCGCGCCGGCGATGGCGTCCTGCACGCTTTGGTGTGGTTGAAGCTTAAATGCATAATTATTTACTCTCGCCTGGTAGAGTCCGGAAAATGAAGTTGATATTAAAAAGTAATTTTAATATTCCCTCTATGAACCTAACGAAACGTAGCTTTAGGTCATCATAGGTGTGTCAATGGCATAAATAAGCATTAGGTACCTACTATTTACTAGATTCGTATTAAGGTTAATTACATACAATTAATTTAAAATCATGTAATTTTAATGATACACCATCCACCGCAAATACTTATTGGCAAGTCGTGCATAATTAGTCATTAGTAGTTTTTAATTACGAACCTACTTTTGGATTATTTATTTATTAAGGTACAGCAACATTTTACATTGATCTATCTAGTCCCAAACTAAGGCCAAGTTGCACTATTTTACTTTAACCGTAGTTAACCGTTTATTTGACTGACTTTTTACGTTTGTTAGAGTTAAAGTGAGTTTTTGCAGCCCAGCCTAAGTGAAGATACTATTTAAACTAGATAATGGAAATAACCATAGATAGATACTTATTAATTTTTCGTAAATTATACAAACTATTTCAAAAAAAACAAACCACCAATGCATAAGTACAGCACACAAATTCGTAATTCGATTTGTTCAAGTTACTTAAAATTTCGTTTGAGATGCAACTTGTTCAACGCTAGAAACTTTTAATAAATATACAATAATGTTTGTTGTAAGACGGGGATCAAACCCGCGACCTCTGGCATAGTACTCCGGTTTAGTTGTGTTGTTCCTGCATTGTGTTATTTACATTACGTCAGTTACAGTTCCTTATTTCGAGACCCTGACATTTGACAGGCTTAAAAAGAACAGCTAACTAGGTACATAATAGTAATACAAAATGACAGAAAAGTTGTTAATGTTTTGTAAAAAAAAGTCATAACTAAAATTGTGTAACTTGTCTCTCAGAAAGCTTACTGAAACCTTTGTTTGTCACCTGTCATCCGCTTTGCACTGAACAGAAGTAGATGAATAATTACGAATTCCTGTTCTTCTGATTAATTTTGTTGCGGATCCAATAAAGTTTAACTTTTCCCCGGGACAAACTTGGCCTTCACTGGTTGGGCTTTTATTGGCGGTCAAGCTGTAGATCCTGGCTACACAGGAGTTGTAGAGGCGGGAATAGTCCCGTATCCCCACTGGGTCGCAAGCATGCAAGCGTGCTTTACTTTATTATTTTTTTTTATGTTACTTAATAATAGACAATAACTAAGCAGAAATATAACCCCAATCGGGTCATCGTTACTAAACAGACCGCGCCATTCCGCCTCAGTTGGTTCAAGTCGATTCATTTGGTTCCGATTGGAGAAGCTCGACTAGTTGTCATATAATAGGGCCGTGTTTTGTTTTGTTGAGACAAAATTTGAAATTTGTAGGGCGGATACTGGCTACACAGAGGTGAGAATGAAAAGTGCATAGTCGTTTCAGCCAAATCGTCCCTTAGCTAACAACACCGCCTAAGTCGATTTTTGGCGGTTTTGACATTTTAATACCATTGGATAGATCTGCTCATCGCGCGTCTAACCATTGGTCACATGTTATAGATTTCAGCCAATAAGAAGCCGTAATTTGAATTTTAGTGACACCGCGCAAGTCGGTTTGCCTCGCAACACCGCTCAAGTCGTTAGTCTGCCATACATTTCTCGTAAAGTTCCTTCGCGCTCCGTAATTTTTATATTTTTAAGTGAGTTTTATCGCGAAAAGGCTATGAAAGAAGTTTTAATAGAAGATTAAGAGGTAAGCTATATAATA